TTATACATGAAACGTGTTCTTGAGCAAGACTGGTGCAAATATATGCGCATGGATGACTTATAAAAATCATCCTTTCTCTGCCCTTTCTGATGTTTCCTGTGTATGGTACAGCTCTAAATAAGGGTCAGTTCAGCTCTAGTTCTCTGGTGATCATCCTCAACAATCCTGTACTTAAGATCTCTAACAACTTTGATTCTGTAAACAACCAATAGCAATAAACTCCCTAGTGACCTCCTTTATCACTGCTTCCTGAACTTGATACAGTGGCTTTGCTGGACCTCTCCTCTGGTTTTAGAGTTCAAAAAGTGTAAATACTAGTAAGTTCTTCGAAGCAGTCCTGAGAGCAGTACAGGACAATCGGTGGAAGGTAATTTATGCCTGTGAAAATGAAAATACTGAAGTAAGCTTTCATAATACTAATAATATAGTTGAATATTTGTAGTGCGCAAATTCCCATTTACATATGATCATTTGCGCATGATTTATTGTGATTTATTGTGTCCTTCCTCAAGACAAACTTTAGACATTCCAAGAAATGGCTTTTCAATGTCAATTTACAAAAACTGAAAAATTCACAAATACAGACTAAAATAAATGGAAAACGAAAGTCCTCTTTTTGTGTAGGAAAATAAAATTAAAACTTTGCACTACAGAACTGTTTCGAAAGGGGCTGGGGGTCCTCTCTCGTCAGGTGCATAAAACACCGGTTAACTAACGTTCCTTTTAGAAATTGATGGTTCAAGCATGCTTTATCAAGTATTTGGTTCAATACCGGCACGCACTCGCTAGTTCATTCTTTTTGTTCAGGGTGCCCGCCCCCAGTCTGCATATGATGAAAAATTTTTCTGTTACGCAAAGATTGCATCTCTTTGTTACGTTCAAATACGGCCTGGCGCGGGCATCAGAAAACAAATAGGCTTATTTACTTTTTGGCAGATAATCATCCTGTCCACCGGCGACTTATTATAGCGACTGGCGCCCTTTTACGATTCCTGCCTCCTTACTGCCCAGACTTAAATCCAGTAGAAATTGTTATAGCCAACGCCAAAGCAGCTATCCGAGAACAAGAAGTGTTGTTTGCACGTTCAACAAGACCAAGGGGTCTAGTTTTACTAGCAGTCCTTCAGGTGACACAGGATTTTTGTGAGGGGTCTGGTAGGCACTGTGGTTATTGAAGTCAGCTCAAATAATGACTTACACTTCTTTTTTCATTGCAATTTGAATTTTATTGACTGATATTTCTCAAATCAATTAGTAGCAACTGCTTTTGCTCATCGAACTCTTGCTGGGTTAACGCTCCTTCCCTGTGTAGTTCTCCGAGCTCTTTCAGTTGTGCTAGAGGGACTGAACATAACTGAAAACGAATACGAAAAGAAAAAAGGAAGGAAAATAAATATATTATTATCGTTAAAAGAAAAAATTTTCTAAGAGAATAGGCGTTTAAATGGCTGAAGCTATATGATGTTACTCCTCAGTGGAATCCCGACCACGATTAGTTGAAGCAAGGAAGTAGAACAACATCAGAAATAGTAAAAATCAATTTGCTTACGTTGGTTGAGTTCTCCTGATTTCGTGTTTTGCTGCGATGGACACCAGTTAATGGAGATGTCACCGCCTCTGCAAGTTTCACAAAGGTTTCCCCTGCCGTCGAAGCGGCTGCCGGTTTCCTCCCCTTTACCTTTCTCTCCGTGAAGGGCGGTACGTTGGGTGGTGTTTCCATGCTTTCATTTACCCCACTTGCAATTGTCTATTCATTAGTATTTTGTTCCTCTTCATCTCCTTTATTGGCCTCATCTTCTTCATCTTCTTCCTCTTCAAATCCCTTGTAACATCCATCTTCGCTTGGAAATGCATATCCCCCATTGCATTATATATGCAAGAGGGTAGAGGTGTTCGCATTGAATTGCCTATGTAGTTCCAAATAAATCCTACAATTTGCCTGTATGCAACGGAACGTAGAAATCTGAAACAAAAACATAACAATGTTTAATGATGATATGATATATGATATATTACAATATTACAAAAAATATGTACTGCCTCAGTTGCAAAGGCTAGTCGAGGCGGGCAGTGTTTAATACGTATATTATAAAATAAAAAGATTTACAGAGCAAGAGATTAAAAATTCTCGACAAATTACAACTACATTAACACATTTAAGTTACGGCAAGTAAACAGAACAAGCTGGGGTCTTATAGTTGTGCTATTAAAGTAGACAAATCAATATAATCGTCATATTTTTCGAGTCTCTGGAGGAGGAAATCGTGAATTTTACTCTTAAAATTGTTTTTGATAGCTGGCGCACTTCATAAGACAAGCTATTCCAGATTCTAACACCATTTCTCGAAAATGCCCTTTTTTGTATATCTAATCTTGAACTTTCAACAAAATAGTCGCCTCTTGAAGATGATCTTGTCTTATGGGGATGAATATTAGCTTGATATTATTGGATATGTCATGCATCAAGATGGCAACTGATTTAAAGTAAAGCATATCCAAAGGAAGAAAACTAGAAGAAACGAAAAACGGGATTGCAAGAGATCTGTAGTCACCAAAGTACATTAAGAGAAGGGCTCGTTTTTGAAGGATTAAAATTTTAACTCTATGAATTTTTGCAGCTTGACCCCGCGCGACTATACCATACAACAAATAGGGTTGGATAAGGACCTGTAAATGTGGTTTAGAGTACTGAGGGGTACAAAGTGTCTTAATCTAGAGAGAACGCCGATTGATT